AATCAGTATTAGTAGACTAATAATATTGTATATTCTATTCTAAGCAAGATGTTGGATAAATATATAGATGGATGGAGAGAGAACTGCTGGACCAGCAGTTAAAGGCTTCTGCTAATTCTCCTCATGACATATTTTCTGATACTTATACCCTTAAAAATACGCCCCTTAGTTAAGCTTTATTTATTTTATGTATACACAAGATGAGGGTATGGGCACATTCCCTGGGAGTTTTGTTTTGTTTTGTTTTGGTTCAGTCCTGGAATTTATTTGTAGCAAGGGGCTCAGACACACTAGGCAAATGCTCTACCACGGAGCCACGCTCCCATCCCAGCCCTGTCGATTTTGAGGCAGGACCTTGCTAATTTTTCCTCGCCTGGCTTCAAACTTGGGATCCTCCAGCCCCAGCCTCCTAAGCAGCTGGCATTACAGGCATGCATTTTGATGTCCCTCTCCTTCCTGAGAGATTAATGGTCTGGTAGCAAGGTCCAGACCCTAACTGGAGCCCACACTTGGACAAGGTATGGACATCAATCAGTCTTAGTAACCGGAAATGTCCTTCAGTACTCCTCTACACCCCTGCCACCACCTTGTCCTTTCCCACTTCAGACTTGGGTACCAAGCAGCGAGGGGAAAAAAAAAAATACCCATAAGGAAATATTGGTGTCATGCAATTGTACAAGAGACAAAGATTAGTTTCCGCAGGGAAGGTCATCTGGGGATGGGGGAACCTGAGCCTCAACAGCAACTTCTGGGCACTGAAGTTAGGAGGCAGTCTCGAGGGAAGCTGTGAACACAGCCAGAAAACACTCAACAGAATAGCAAAGAGTCGAGAGAAAGATAACAGAGATCTCTGATGCTCTTTGGAAGAAGATAAAAGTGCGGAGAGAATGAGACACTGTGGAGAGTATGGGCCAGGAGATGAATCCATGACAGAGGTGCATCTGAACTCTATCATCTTTGCTTATACAGGTTGCTGGGCTCCAGCTCATCCGGAACTCAGAGCGAAGCCGAAAGAACACGAAATCGCGCAGACCGTGAGATCCAGGTCTAGCTCTTCCGAAGGATAGCTGTGTGACAACAGGCAAAACCGTTCACTTCTCTTTGCTTTGGTTTCAGGATAAGTAACGCTTGCATGTTAATGTGGTGCTTAGCACAATTTCTGGCACGTAGCAGGGCATCTAAATGAGATCTACTATTGTTGCTCTTCCTAGGGAGGATAGACTTATTTCTGCAGTTCTGTTCTCGACCATAATTTCCCTTGTGCCCAGTCATACATATTTTGAGAAGGCTGACCAGGGTCAGAAGCCACCATCTGTGGAGGGAGCCTGGGACTCACTCATTAACTTCAACAAAGTGAACCAACTCAGCCTCACAGTGGCAGGTGCCCTGGGGAGCTGGCCTAGTTGGCATAGGATTAGTCTACATTTTTTCAAAACATTTCTGCTTAGGGAGGTGTTTGAAGTTGGTGGGCTAACGTGACTTTGCTCTGTGGAGATATGTGGCCAAATTGTGATGAATTTCTAAGTGAGGTGCACAGTAAGCGTTCACTGTAATGACAATAAATAAAAACATTTACTTCTAACTTGTGGGCCCTGTCTACTGTATTATGCTATTCCTGAAGCTTTTATCAAAGTTCACATTTGCCTAGAAAGTGTGTCCAAACGAAATGAGAAGTTTTGAAACAATTCCTGACTGCCTATGTCTAAATGAGCAGCTCCCCTTGTGAAGAAAGTCCGCTGGGAAGCTGCGTATACATTCTAACATTCCTCCCGGAGCCAAACATTTTCGGAACTTCTCTTTTGGAATCGCCCTATGACCCAGTTTATGAGGCATACAAAAAAGCCAGACTTATTAATTTCTAGTCACACATACTTTTTCACCTCTGATGATAGTATTACCCAACTCGATTGTCCATCTTGGCTCCAAATGATTTTGCAACTTCTGAACCAAGATCTGTTCTCAAAATGTGAGTAAATGCTCCAAGGTATTTAGAAGAACATATCATCGCATGTTCCAAAGGCATCCGAGAGAGAATTCCAAGGGCTGGAATAACATCCCCCTTGGCAAAGAGCTTGCTGCAGGCCACTCTCTAGTTGTAATGCGTTTGAACCTGTATTCGCTCCTTAAGTATTTATTAGTCCCTCCTACTCGAGAGGCTTTGGGCTGGGGATCCGACACCAAATGGGACAGACGCTTTCAGGGAGACTTTATCCAGCTAGGAGGTCAAATATTACATAAGGAATCGTAGTAAAGAGGGGCTGGAATGTGAACATAGATCAGGGAGAACTAAGCTAGGGTAGCAATCAGGGTAAGCATTCCTGGGGAGAGCATTTTAAAGCTGAGATTTGAGAGTTGCATATAGGATTGTTGCAGATAGAAGACAAAGGAGCAGGAAGAGAAAGAAGTACATTGTGGTTCAGTGTTTGGGGAATCTCGGGAGCTCCGCAGGAGGCAGACCATAGGAGGTGGGATAAGTCATGTTAAAGAACCCAGACTTGCTGAGTTGCGCACATACTGAAAAGGAGACTGGCAACTCTGATTGCAGAAGGGGTTAGGAAAAAGAGACTGGAGACAGGGAGACTAATAGAAATCATTACAAAAATCTAGGAGATGATGATGGCAGTTGAGATGGAGAGAACACGGATTTGAGAAATGCTCAGGGAATAGAAGCAGCAGGACTTGAAGATTTAGCATAAGTGAGAGACGAAGAGCAGGGAAGAGGTAGGGAGACGCTCACACTGCACTGGGGCGTCAGGAGGGTGACAGTGACCTCTGTGAGAGGGGCTACACTGGAGAAGGGCGGTGGTCACCCTGAGGGGAAGAGAAGACGTGTGCACTTTTAGCTGTGCTGGGATGGAGAGGCAGCAGAGGACTCAGACGAAGATGCCACGGAGCTGGCTGGCTGTCAAGTCCGTGTCTCGGGACAAAGGTGGGCTCAAAATGAATTTGAGAGTCGTGAGTGACAGCAGAGAATCGTGTCACCTAAGATGTGCGTGCAGAGTGCAAAGAACGTAAGGTCCAACAGACCCTGGGACATATTCATCTTTAAGGGCTGTGCAGAAGAAACACGAGCACAGAGCAGGCTGAAAAGCAAGCCTGAGGGCAGCATCAAGCGTCAAAGTTTCCCAGGAGGTCACATAAGGTGAAACTGAGAAGTAACCCCTGGGTTCAGATAATGTAATTTACAGCTAAGACCCTGAGTTACAGATGCCCCAGCAAGAGGGCGGTAGAATCTCTCTTCTGTGATATCTAGTGACTGGTCCTGGGGAACTGGGCAATCGTTCAGTGAAAAAGTGATGAAACTGGGGACAGTTTTTAAAAAATTTGCAGCTTAAACATATTTTGACCTAAAGCACACAACTGTAGATTTATTTGCTTTGTGTGTGTGTGTGGTGGTGCCGAAGAAGCTTGAGTCCTGTAACACTGAACTACATCCCCAGACTGTTTGTTTGTTTATAGACATGGCTAAGTTGCCCCGTGGGACTGGGCCCCCCCAAGAGATTTGGGATTACAGGGTCTGCCACCATGCCCAGCTCATGTACCAATCTTTTGAGACAGGGCCTAAAAATCCCTTTGAGTATGATCTGTCTATTGATACTCAGTCTTAGTTTTCTTTTGTTTTTTATTTGTTTGTTTTATTTTTTCAGATAGGTTTTCACTCTGTAGTTCAGGTTGGACTTGAACTTACTATGGCTGGCCTCAGACTTGGACTTGTAGCAATTCTCCTGCCTCAGCTTTCTGAGTGTGGGATCACAGGTGGGTGCCATTATGCCTGGCTCAGCCCCAGCTTTCTCACATTAAACATATCCATAAGTGTAACATCTGTGAGTTCCTGTCTCAGTTTATTTAAAGTAGATAAGAACTTAATGGTGCTCAGGAAGCAATCCAAGTACAAAATCCTAGGTATTTATAATTTTCCCCAATCTTTTCTTCCTGAGTCCAATTCAATAAAATTGAATTGTGTGTAATTTTTAAATTTACATTTTATTTTTATCAGTACATGTGTAGTACATATTTACATTCCTCATGTGTAATTGGTACATGTGAATAATACATCTTAATTCTCTTTTTTCCCCTTTCCCTGTTAAGGAACACAAAACCATTTTCTTTTTAATCTACCAAAATGTATACATTAAATGTGTGCAACTTTTAATATATCAATTATACTGTCATAGAGCTAAAAACCTTTTAAGCTACAAAGGCTTTCTAGGGGAAGACATTTAATTTTTATCCACTAAAAAAATAAAAACAAAAGAGTCAGACATGGTGGCACACCATGTAAGCTTGGCACTGGGAGGCTGAGGCAGGAGAAATATGAGTTTGAGGCCAACCTCAGTTCCATGGTACGACCCTGTCTCAATGCCCAACCTCCCAAAATGAAAGAAAGAAGCATGGTACAAGAGAAAAATATACTGTAATTCCATTTATATGAGATTTGAGAACAAATAAAATACAACTATATTTCAGAAACGTATACATGTATGCGTGTGTGTGATAAAACATAAAGGAAGGGCCGGGGACTTAGCTCAATGGTTCTGCCACCTGCCTCACAAGAACAAGGACTGGAGTTTGATCCCCGGTACCAAAAACAAACAAACAAAAAATAAAATAAAATATAAGGAAAAACAAGAGAGTGAAACTATCGCAGTCATATCATGGTCACCTCCGGAGAAGAGTGTGATTAGAAAAGGGCCCCCCAGGGATGTCTAGGGCGCTCGTGCTATTTCTACTCCTTGCCCTGTATAATGGTGCGTTTCATCATAAATCAATCAAGGAATCGAACCACTTTGGATTTAGGACAAAGCATTCATTATGGGAATCAGACTTTAGCAGATTGTTGGAGGAGGTGGGGCAGTGAAGCTCCTCGAGAGAGAACTGAAGACCGGAGGAGTCATCGGTCCGTCCACCCGAGGAGCCTCGCACTTTGGGCTGCTGGACAGAGATACAGGGACGACTTGGGGACAAGTCTATGGGGAGCTCTACAGAGAAATGTTACTCACAGGCAGGGACTCCGGCTGAGGAGAAGAGCTGCTGAGGAGCCGCGAAGCGGAGCCCGTGGGGTGTCTGCACCTCTGTCTCCACACTTTCCGGGAGTAAGAGCTGCGGCCTCCGCTCTGCCTAAATCACACACGGCTGCTCTCGGGCAGGGCCTGCGGGGAAAGGGATTCTGGGAAACACAGTTCCCAGGTGAATCACTTTGAAATACAATTATCCCACACAGGGGTCACGCATTCACTTCATAATTGTAATATGCATTTATAGTTAAACGGTTTTCTAAAGTTACTGTAACGCATACCAAAGAAGACCATCAATCAATCAAGCAATCAATAAATGAACAGATGTTTCATTTCAAACACCGTGTGTTTTCCCACAGCGCTACCAGAGTGAGGGAAAACATTCTATGAAGCTAAAGGAACAACTCTGAGGTACCAGGAAAGTTTTCACAGAAAAAGAAATATTTAAAATTAGTGATAAAAATAGCTACCACTCATTGATTACTTACTGTGTATCAGACCTTATAATCTATTTTTACTTATTCCATATAATTTACACAATTCTATGAGCTAATTCTTATGCTCCCCACTTTTTAGATAAAGAAACAGAAATATAGAGAGATAAATTTTGCTAATGCCACATTAGGTAGCAAGAAGCAGTGCAGTAAACTAACCTCTGTTTTATTCCAACCACTCGTTTTAAATTTTTTTTAGAAAATGTCTCATTATGTAGGCCAGGCTGGCCTCAAACTTAAGCTCTTCCTGCCTCAGCCTTCCAAGTGCTAGAAAAACAGGAGCCCATCACCATACCCGGCTCCCAACCACTCTTAAATGCTGCTCTCCATGACCTTCCACCTGAGGCTTGACAGATAAAGCGAACACACCTGGCAGACGGGGACGGCCACAGGCCATGGCTTGGAGATGAGGAAGCGTGCGGTTTGCCAGCTGCAGAGCATTTTGGTCAGTGTGGCTGATACACAGGTAGGGGTGGTAAAAGAGCACAAGGTAAGATGTAAAGTTCACTGATTTCTTTCTTTCCTCCCTTCCTCCCTTCCTCCCTCCCTCCCTCGCTTCCTTCCTCTCTCTCTCTCTCTCTCTCTCTCTCTCTCTCTCTCTCTCTCTCTCTCTCTCTCTCTCTGCCTGGAGGGCAAAGACTCATTTCTTTCAGACACCCCCCCCCCCCCTCCCCCCTCCTCTCTCTCTCTCTCTCTCTCTCTCTCTCTCTCTCTCTCTCTCTCTCTCTTTCTGTCTCTCTTTCTGTCTCTTTCTTTCTTTCTTTTTTTGTGGTACCGGGGATCAATTAGGACCTTGTGCTTGTGAGGCAGGTGCAGCGCCACTGATCTAAATCCCCAGCCCTCACTGATTTCTTTCTTTAATGCCATGTGACAGTGTTTTGAAATTCTAATCCGCAGAGAATCACTGGAAATGAATAAGTAGGGAAACAGCACTATCAGATTTATGTTTGAAAGTTCTGATAGCAATCATTTAATAGTTATATAAACTTTGGTACACGGGAGTTGTCCTCTTCACTTGGACTCCTGTTTGTTCTTTACACAACTTTGTTTGCTTTGGTCCTCACAATTAACCTATGAAGAGTATGAAATACATAAAAGTGTAATTGTCCCCAGCATGCAAGCTTGAAAACTGAGGCGGTGGGCTCAGGATGCAGCCTCATGGTAGAGCGTGTGCTTAGCATGTGCCCGGATCTGGTCATACCCCCGTGTCAAAAATAAACAAACGAACAATAATTGAGGGTTTTTTTAGCGGGGTATGAGGAATCAAACTCCGCTCCTTGTGCTTACAAGGCAGGCAGCCAAACCACTAAGCTAAATCCCTGGCCCATTAATTGAGATTTAGTAAAGACAAATCATCTGCCCAGCGCCACCTGGCTAGTAGTAAGTGACAAACTCCAGTTGAGAACTCGTGTTTATCTGTCTCCTGTTTCTGCTTTTGACCTGGACAAATGTAAACGTAAAACAAAATGAAATAAAATCCTCCACTGTTTTCAAGCAAGCTGTAGCTGGAGAATTTTCTATCTCTTAAATTCTAGGAGCTGAGAACTGACTGGTATCACCCTCTTTTGAGAAATTAAATTTTAGTTGTGGAATTTGTATTCAAACTAAAATTACACGACTCATAGATTTTGATTTAAGCCCAATGACAGCAAATTGGCTAGGAATATAGTATTTCTGGATACGCATAAATTTTGTGTTTTAAAACGAAACAAAGTTTTCTAATTGCAGTGAACAAGAGAACGTAATTAGTCCCAATTGCCAAATCTGAAACTGTGCCAGGAATTTCAGGAAAAGAAAAGAAATGAATAGTAGTCAAAGGGAATGCCAGGGAGAGAATACTTCAGAGGCTCTGACTCCAGGGGTGGTCAGTTTCTTAAATCTCCACAACCATACCTTTTGTCAACACTGAGGGTTTTTTCGATTCAAAAATTCCCAGTTTGGTGGCCTGTTTTCCTTTATTAAGACTCTTGTCATTGTTCTGAAATCACTGCCACGGTTTAGAAGGTCTGAGTTTACGTAGGTTTTGAGGATTTATTTTCCACTGGCACCGGGCTTTTTCCTTTCAGTGTAACTGGTGAGGGAGAACGCACATAAGGGCTAGGCAGAGGCAGCCAGCACCCAAAGACATCGAATCCTTTTCTCTACTCCTCTTCCCCTGGATCTCCATCCTAGGAAGCCCTAAAGTTTCAGTGCTGATTACAGGCCTGCTCTGTTCCTGGCATGATTACGCTAAAACTCAGAATTTTACCAGAAGACAATTTTCTCAATTCATCACCCTTCCAAAGACATTATGCACGCATCGCTTTCTCGGAATGAGCAACAGCGAAGCAAATGGAAAGCTGCCACGTGGTCTTCTGTTCATTCTAATTCATACCACTCTTTCCTGAACTGGCTTTCTAGCTGTGCATTCTAAATGTGTATTAATATCGTCTCTCTTTGCAAAGCTGCTTGGATCTGAAGACTTTTTAAAAAGACATCAAAGATAAATACATCGTTACATGCTAAACAATGGAAGACAGGTATTAAAGCATCACATGATTCTAGTATCTTATTAAAATTGGTGGTTTTAACTACAAAAGCATTTCATTATTCTCACTTGCCTTGAAAGATATTGCTCTATACCCAGCCAAAAATATGAACTGTCACAATACCAACCATTCAAGCACTGAGTACACTGTAGTATATGCTGCTGGCTTCACCAACCTATTGGCTCAAACACAAGAATTCAAACTGGAAAGGGTATAATGAAGGTTTATACATAACTTCTGGGAAAATTCTTTGGACTTAATTTTTTTTTAATTTAACCCTATTAGTCATTTCATATAAGTGGTCCCAGAGAGATCTCCATAACTGGCCAGCTTTAGTTCATATGCCTCAGAGATTCACAGCCCCACAGATGGCAGGGCTGGCCCTGGTCATAAAATGACAGTTTGCTTACAGTTACAGGCAGGCAACCATGGTTTGAAATTAATCACAATTAATGGAGCCCTGCATTCTGCCCCTTATGTATTTATCTGCATGCAAGATTATCCCACTTGCATCTGATGAAATATATTAGTTGAATTATATTTAATCCATTGTTCAGTAGAAATTTCTATATGCATTAGACACATTGTCTAGGTTTCTTGTCTTTCTACATGCATAAATGAAAATTACAAGCTTGTATTCTGTTAGGAAATACTAAATTCTCTCTCTGGTTGCCACTGCCCAAGGGCCTAGGGCTTGTCCTGTGTTCACAGCTTGGGAAAGTAGCTCTTCCTTTCCCTTTGTGCCTACAGCAACATGCTTTCAAAACATCAATCTTTGAATGGGAAAAAGGCCTCTACTACTTGTCAAGATTTATAAAAATACAAGTATAGGTTGATAATGACAGGCAGGAAAAGTAACTATAATTTATAGCACAGAGAATAAACATGGAAGACCTTATTTCTGGGCAACTCTGTGAAGTCAGAGGACCTACTTCTTCAGTTATGGGCTAATTTAGGCCGTTTCCTGATTGACTTGATAATGCAAAAGTATTAGTCCAACCCTTCCTCTTTACAGAAGAGAAAGAATTTCCAAGTTAAGCTTGATGCTCTCCCCTCTGCAGTTACAGATTAAAATTTTAATAATGTATTTTGAAATGTAAAGCACCTGATATCTAGTAATACGTAAATGTTTGCTCTTCTTGTTTCTCAGTCCTGAGGATTAAACCCTTCACACTGACCTACACCTCAGGCCTGTTTTTATTTTTTATTTTCAGACAAGGTCTTGCTAAGTCACTGAATACCCAGGCTGGGCTTGAACTTGCAATCCTCCTGTTCTAGTCCAACTCCTTTGTGAAAGCCTCCTGATCCTTGTCTGGCTACTCCTCTCTCTGTATAACTATGTGTTTCGTGGGCTTGTTTTCCTACATAAACTTACACTGTATTTAATAGTATATATTCCCCTTCCCCTCACTGCACAGTAAACTGCACAGAAGGCAAGAACCAAGATTTTTCATTGCATTGTCCTCCTATTCAGTACTTATCATATTTTTTAGACATTGCATCCTTTTAAAAAGTGTTCACTGGTTAAATTGCGAGGCTGACTTCCAAAACCAGTGGGGAGTTATCAACCAGTGCAAGCTTCACTCTTCTACCTGCCCACAAATACTGGTAGACACCAGCTTAGTCTCGCTATGGTGTGGACAAACTGAGGTTGCAGTAAGATCAAGCGAACAGCACGGTCAAGTGACAGGGAAAGAGCAAGGTAGTAGCAGTGCAACAATAACAATAAACGCACAGACAGTGGTATTAACAAGGTAGAGTTTCAGTCCACAGTTGCAGGCTGCTGGGGTGTGATCTGGGACGAGGATCAATAGTGAGTGAAGAGGGAAAACTGAAGCATAGTTAGATTCCAGCTCCAGACAGGAAGAGAAGTTGCAGTCTAAGAAAGCACCTGATAGCCGATTGAGTGTTAGAAGATAAAAAGATCACGGTCACTAAAGCAGGAAGGATAAATCTTTCCACATTAGTTCTGCCCCTGAGATGTTGTGAAAAGAGCCGTTTACTAGAGCAGTTCCCATTTACCCAGATTGATCTTCTGTATGAATGCACCTTCTGGAGCTGTACCCAGAGAGTGGAGCTATTTCTGCGGAGAGATTCAAAGATAAAAC